AGCAATAGTTAGAAAACTTTAGTAGTAACCCTAGAGTCTTAAGATCTTTTCGAGGCAACGTTTCCGAGGCAACATTTTCGAGGCAACATTTTCGAGGCAACATTCGAATGGGACATTTGATCTTTTAGACAGGAGGGTGACCACTAAAATTTCCTATGCTTAATGACTGTTTACCGAAGGCAACCGTAGTGAGGCAAACCCTAGGAGTGAACATGTGCATGTGAACTTTTTTTCAGTTATTTAGTCTTTGCACATTAGGTGATCTACCGTTTTAAATTTCAAGCATTCTTTTCATACAATCCTATTAGCCATGCATCTAGATAGTTAAAGATTGCGGGAATTTAAAGTGCGAAAAATAAACCTAGCTATTACAAGGCTTCGGGGAGGGGAATTAATTACATGACCAAAAATCGGGGATTTAAACAGTAAATAAAAACCCTAGGTTAACTATTACAAACCCTGAGCAGTTACAAAATAATGGACAAATAATTAACAAGCGCGCGGCAAATTAAGTGCGTGGACGATTGAAATAACCTAAAACCCTAATTGAGAGAAAAAGTGTTTTTTGTGGATTTTTATTTGAGAAAATATTTAATTGCAAATTAATTAAACCTAATTTCTAATTGTTTTTAATTATGAAAGAAATTAAGTTAACCTAATTTTCTAATTAACCTAATTAATTAAAGGAATAAATATTTATGAGAAAAAAAATGATTTTTGATGTATTTTTAAAGAAAATTAATTAAATTATGTACAACTAAAATCCTAATTCTAATTATTTTTAATTATAAAAAGAAGATTAAATTATCATAAATTAATTAAACTAATTAATTAAAAATATTTATTAAAAAAAGATTCTTGTGATTTCGATTTGTTAATTTAATAAAAATAATTTTTGTATTAATTTAAAAAAAAGGAAAATAATTAAAGAAAAGAAATTAAAGAAAATAATATAAAAAAAACCAAATGGGCTTGTGATGAATTGCTGAATGGGGGTGTGGAGTTGAAATTCTTGGCTCATTAAGCTGACCCCGGCCAACCATGCTGGATCAGGTGTAGCGTTGAGTTGGAGGTGTATCATACTCCTTCACTGCAGGCGTTGGATCTGGATTGATCCTTGATCCACTGGTCAGGAAATGTTAGCGCATGGTAGATGGTTGAGAGCGTGATACACCTGATTACAGAAGAAAAAAATAATACAAGGAAATCGTTGGGACCTGGGATTGAACCCAGGTTCTTATACTCGCCACCAACGGTACATTGCCAGTTGCGCTACCTTGTTAGTTAGTTTGTATAATGAAAACAAAACATAATAAATAAAATAAAGTAATGGATTCAGAAAGGCGCACGAGATTCAAATGAACCAATGATGGGCTGCCATATATTATCTTCTTCGTTGCAACCGTCGTATTAGGTAATAGACTTATACCTACGGACGTTTGCTGTAACTACAACCCTGCAAAACTCAAAAATCTCATACGAGCATGATAAATTAATTGTGATGGTACCAATCAACTCGTCTTGGCCTCACAAGCATCATGGTACTTGATTCATAGTCTAATTTAACTTGTACCAGAAACCCCTAAATCGTGACCCCAAACCCTAACAATGGTAAGTATCGATTCCTATACTGTTAGTACAATTAAATGATACAGAAAGCTTGCAAACACGATTATGAACAAGAATATACGGATAGAATGGATTTATGATGCGTAAAACATAGAAATCGAATTTGAGTTTGGGATGCAAACCGTGATGTGTCTAGGCGGTGGTTCTTGACGTTTTGAAGGCTGCAAATGATGTTGTTGGCTTCAGGAGATGGCTAGGAAGTGATTAGGGTCTTTGAATGGCCTGTAATCACCCTCTAGGGCAGAAATAAAATGCACACCTTTTATCGAATTTTTGAGTTTTTGTTCTTGCTCCCTACGACTGCAAAACCTTTTCTTTTGATCTGCAATTGTTGTATACATATAGTAGACTGACTTAGGTTAATAAAATTGGCATGAATCTTGAGAAATAATGGAAATTGGATTTGATTTGCTTTTGTATGATATATTTCTAAAACAAGCTTCAATCCAATCTTTTCCAACCCTAATGAGTATTGCACGAATTGATCATCATGCTAGCTGTACATAGACTCCAAATGTGCACAAAAATCCCAAGATTTGATTTGCTTTTATTATTTTACCATTTAATTTGATTTATTTTGATTTAAATGAATAAAAAATCAAAATAAATGATAAAAGTAATAAAATAATAGGTGGAAAAGCTCAGGAGTCGTGGGTCCTATTAGAAACATGTTTCAAGCAAGAAAACACGGGCCCCTTTGGAAAAAATGCAAATTTGATCAATGTTGACTTTTGACAATTTTCCAAAAATTGCCAACTTTGGCAATGTATATCTCTCTCAATTTTGAGCCTAGGAGGGGGTTCTTGGACTTCTTAGAAAGCTTAGGATGTCCCCTAAACAACCCTTTTGGTTTCATCTCAATTGGGTCTTCCATGTTCATGTATGAAGCTTTGACCCAAAAGGTGTTTTTGTTGACTTTTCAAAAGAACCTATAATGTAAAAATTCATATCTTTTTATGAGTGCATATTTTGAATTTGAGGGCTGAAGATGAATTGTAGGGGACTTCATCCTCTTCAAAATAAGCCTTGGATGGAAAATTTCTGATAAAGTATAGAGAAGTTGTGCTTGGTCAAAGTTGGGTTGACTTTTCCTACAAAACCCTAATTTAGCAACTTTTAGGTTTTGATGAATTTGGAGCATTCCTTGAGGAATCATGATCAACCCTTGATCAAATGATATAAGTCACTTAAAAATGTTGATGTTGACCAAAAATCTTGAGGTTTGACTGTATGTGGGCCACAATTGACTTTTGACCTAATATGGTCAATTCTCAAGCATTTGAGCAGTTGACTGAGCAAACTTCTTATGCAAGGCATGAAACTTGACATGGATGATCTTAGGAACATATTAGGACCTTGGGAAGCATTTGAGTCCTTTGTGGTTCACACATCTGGATGAAAAGGGAAACCCTAATTTGAGGTATACTGCCTTAGAAGAGAGTTTGTCTGGTCAACTCTTGGACTTTCTTGAGCAACTTGGGGACCTCAATTGACATTTGTTGAGTAAAAGGGGAGGGAAAATTTTGGGGTACAACAGTATGGGTATCTCTTGTGTTGAATCGAGGAGAATATGGGGCCGCCACGTGGTGTCGTGAAGCACTAACGGACCTTAGAACCTTAGTTGAACAAACTTGGCCATTAGAAAGTAGTGAAATAGCCGGCCTCGGTGTAAAGCTGGGGATTGGTTGATACTCGATGCTACACTCGTTGAGATCGGACTTTCGAGATGTTTCGGACGCAAGAAAAGATTGCTAAGCTGAAATAATGCTCGATAAAGAAAGATCAGTGATATTGAGACTCCTTAGAACCCGTTTACTATTTCTAGGACATGTTGAACCAACTGAACTTCAAGAGGGTATTTACCTATAAACTCCATGCAAGCCTAAACCTAAGGTCTTGTGTGTTTTGCCCGTGTGTGATTAATTTGCCTAAACATGACATCATGCATCATAACATCCATTTTTCATTACACTGACCATTTCAAGGACCAAGGGAGTTTATCTTTGTTCTGTTTTGCAGATCATGGCTTCCGCTCGTAGAAATACTATCTGAATCAGCTTTGTTAGAATATCTTTCCAACTTAAAGAGCTAGTATCGAGGGTGCCCGAGACTTCCTCGTTTACCAAGAAATATGGTCGACCTCTCAATCTAGTTACCTCGGGTTTTGATGAGAAGATGATGAGTGTACTCTTTCAGTTCTTTGACCCCAAACACCATTGCTTCACTTTCCCAGACTATCAGCTGGTACCCACCATGGAAGACTTCTCTCAAATATTGGGTATACCTATTCTTGATCAGATGCCTTTCACCGGTTTAGAAGAAGCTCCAAAGTCAGAAGTCATTGCAACAACTTTGTATCTGAAACAGTCCAATATTGTATCCAACTGGGAAACAAGAAAGGAAGCCAAGGGTTTTTAGTCAAATTCCTATTAGAGAAGGCTCAGCTGTTTTGGAATGATCTAGATTTCTAAGCTTTTGAAGAGGTTTTGGCCCTTCTAATCTATGGTTTAGTGTTGTTCCCTAATCCAGACTCACTCATTGATGTGAATGCTATCAAGGTTTTCCTCTCTCGTAACCCTGTGCCTACTCTACTCAGAGACGTCTTGTATACCCTCCACACTCGCACCATGAAGAGAAAAGAGATTCTTATGTGTTGCGTGCCTTTGCTGTTTAGGTGGTTTATTTCTCACCTCCCTAAATCAGAATTGAAGAACAAAGAAGGTTTGGGTTGGTTGCGAATGATAATGTCACTCTCTCACTCAAATATTCTCTGATATTCCCGATCTATAGGAGATATTTCTGTATTTTATACTCAAGTGAAATAATATAAATAATATAAATAAAAATGATATGTTTTTGTTATCATTTCAATTTTACATTATATCTTTAATTAAAACTATTCCATTTTATTGATTTATACTTATTGCACAAACTAACCATACAAAATAGAATTTTACAAATTAAATTATTTTTTATTTAAATGAATTCTACTTAATACAAACGCACTATCATATTAGTTATAGAAAAAAGAATTTTTATACGTACTAGTTGGAGAGAATATATAAGTGTATAGTAGAAAAGGATTGGAAATGTGTAGTAAAGACACGTGGGGGTCGGTGATTATAATCGGATGCAAACCTATTTATATTCTTCTCTTTATTCTTCCTTTCTCGTCCGCCTCTTGTTTCTTTCTCTCTTTCTCTCATATCCCCTCTTCTTCCTCCTCCTTCCCCCCCTTCCATCGCAAACCCTAAAACCAGACACACACCTTCTTCTTCTTCCTCCTCTTCACACTCTCTCTTTCTCTCAAAACCTTTCCAATCGGTGACGAAAACGGAGAATCAATCTTTCACAATCTCGCTCGATTCTTGATGGCCGCTTCAACTACCAGTCAGGTTTATATCGATGTTATCGAAGATGTCATGGTCAAGGTTCGAGATGAGTTCGTTACCAACGGTGGTGGTCCCGGAGATGAAGTTCTCAGAGAGCTTCAAGCCGTAATTTCATCATTTCTCATTTCTTTCTCTTTCTTTTAACTAATTAATGAGTTAATCAATTAATTGATTGATTAATTAACTGACATGTTTTGTGATGTATGAATCTGATTTGATTTAGTTTAGGATTTTTTTTTGGTTGGGTGATTGATTTTAGATTTTAGGGTTTTGGATCTGATGAATTGTTGTGTGTTTGGGTTTAGGGATTAAGTTTTGGTTGTTTTGTGTTTTTGATTGTTTCTTTAGATTTGGGAAACGAAGATGATTCAAGCTGGTGCGGTGCTTGGTCCAATTGAGAGGTCTACTGGTGCTAATAGACCAACGCCTGGTGGTCCGATTACTCCGGTTCATGATCTGAATGTGCCGTACGAGGGGACTGAGGAGTATGAAACTCCTACTGCTGAAATACTTTTCCCCCCTGTGAGTTTTGAACTCAACTACGGTTATAGTTGAATGTGTTTATTGTGAATTGTGAATGGGAGTTATTGGATTTTTTATGTGGGACTTTTGCGATTTACAGACGCCATTGCAAACTCCGATTCAAACCCCTTTACCTGGAGCTGGGGAGACCCCGAATTATAACATTCCTACTGGACCAAGTGACTACTCTTCTTCTGGAAATGAAGCCGGTGGAAATGCTGATGTAAAAGGTGGAAGACCAAGTCCATTCATGGTAAAGTTTACTTTCTACTGTTTGATGTGTTGAAAATTTTTAACATTAGATGTTTTCTGTAAGCCTGGATCCTCTAATGCATGCATCCCAAAAATGAGGGTGAGATACACGAGTAAAAAGACGGGAAAAGGGAGGGAGTGATTTGAAGAGAATAATTGAGAGATAGAGAGAAATGAGAGTGCTATAAAGGGATTTTGTGGGTGATGATCCAAATCTGTTTTCTGTTGTATTAGTTTCTCAATTGTCATTCTCAACTTGTGCAATTGATTTAATATCTGGCTATTGTACATTTACTGGAATCTTTTGTTTAGACCATGTTCTTCTTTTCAAAGTGGACATTGATATTGTACTTATGATTCTTCACAGCAACCTCCTTCTCCTTGGATGAATCAGAGGCCTCCACTTGATGTCAATGTTGGTAAGTCTCGTTCAAGTTCAGGTTAATGTTTGATAAAACAGATTTGCAGTAACAGTGGATTGCATTGCACACTGTAGCTTATGTGGAAGGACGGGAAGATGCAGATAGAGGAGCATCTAATCAGCCTATGACACAAGTAAGCAAGTCATTTAGGGCTATACGGAAGACTTATTGTTCACTGCTTTTAAGATTTGGTGAAACCTTACGGCTGAGCTGTTTTATGAAACTAGCAAGTTTTGCTCCTTTCTTGTGTCAACATATTTAATGGGTATATTTTTGTCTAGAATGTCAGCTCTGGATGATTATATTTAGGAGACTAAAAAAAAAAGACTAAACCATTAAGAAGGATTTAGATTTGAATGCTGTGGTTATTCATGATTTTCAGTAAAACAGTATTGCATGATTTGGTCTACATAGACAATTTCACCTTCTGAAGGAGGAAGGCTTATTGCTTTTGAGTCTGAACTTGAAGTCATGACATTTAGATATTAATAGATATCTGGAAAAAATTCTAGGATTTCTTCACAGTGCCCGGTGGAAAGCGGAAACGCAATGATATGCCTCCACCATATGATGTTGGAGGATATATACCTCAACAAGATGGAGCTGGTGATGCCGGATCTGGCGATTTTGAAATTGAGGTGTGGTCTTTATCCCACTGTTTGTCAGCATCAACCTTTCATAATAATTTATATTTATCTATATGCTAGGCACTTGCATGTCACCTGTAGGTAGTTTTGTAATAGTGTTAACAGTCAAATTTATTATTTATACCATCAGTGTTTGTTTTCTTCCTTGATCGTTGATATATAAAAAGCAAGGGATTTCATATCACTCTTATATTTAGATTTATTATTTCTCTAGTCCTTTTATGGGGCAGGGATGAGACAGGATGGGGTGTGAAGGATGGTGGAGACAGTTTTTGTCATCTCTACAAAGTGTATGGTGCTTATCAGTGTTAGACATTTTTTTTGGGATGGGAATTACTGCGGGGTTAGGGCAAGGTAGTGGCACCAGGGTTCACGGAGTGTGAAGGAATGTATTTGCATTTCTTCCCAATTTGAATCTTGTAATTTTATAAAATTGATGTAGTTTATACCCAATTTCTTTCATATGCGAAGCTGTACAGTGACAGTTTATCCAAGGAGAAGGAGGTTGCTGTGAAGAATCATAAGTACAATATCAATGTCCACAACAACCTCCTTCTCCTTGGATAAAATTGAAAATGTTTATACCTAAATGAAGCTCATTAAACAATAATAAAAGGGAGAACCTTTTCTAAAACCAAATGAGCTCTTGTGAGCTCTTGGATTGCAAAAGCTTCTTTCCAAGCATGCTCCTGTGCATTGTTCTACTGGCATTTAACAGTACAAGAGTGAGCTAGGAAAGAAGCTAGCAACATTGTGCAGGCCAGCTAACAGTTGTAAATCACTATGGTGACTTTTTGTAGTACATGCATTGTTTTATTCTGTCTGTTTGTTACTTAATTCATTGACTTGCTCAATTGGTGGAAACGTTTTTTCATTTACATAACTGATGAGCTTAATATTTTAGGTTTGTGGAGGGAGCATCTCCTTCAATTCACAACTCACTAATTCAAAAGGGAAAATGCCCGCAGACTTGGAGAGACTGAATTCTAGGATTCCTCAACTTGATGGACCAATTCCTTATGAGGATGATGTGCTTTCTACTCCAAATGTGAGTAATATTTTCACCCGCCTCTGCTTGTGCTTGTGTGAGCTTTTGTAAATTGCAATGTAACAGTTTGGTGTTTGCACTTTCCCAACTCAGGGATATGTATTTTTACTGTATTTGCCTGTATTTTTACTGTATTTTGAAAGATTGCATGCACCTCCAACCTTTAGTTATCCATAAATAGATACCAACTTTGAATTTTGACAATTTATAATCCCAGTTAATGTTGAAAGGGCTCTCAATGGCCCACTTCTTTATTTGTATTTAAAATGTATTTGATTTGTTGCAAAATAAATAAGAAACCGACCACATCTCTTCAGATGTTTATCAGTTTAGGAAGTACTTAACAGTGATAGAAGTCTTATTTTAGGATACTCCCATATGAATTAGTGCCTGTCTAGTTTGGTGTAAATACTGCTTCTTCCTTGGTTGATCTTTTTTAAAAACAGAACAACCACAACTGAGATTCAGCAGCAATATATAATTTTATAAGCAATTTAATGGATTAAAATAGGTATTCCCGTTGTGAAACCTGAACGAGTTGCATATTTCAAAACTGAATTCTACTTTTGGTCACTAAAATCTTTAATTCATTGAATGTACCTGTATTGCAACAACAACAAAAAAAGATACAAGGAGATTGAATGGCTAAATTCCAGCTTATTCATTCTGCATGTGAAATCTTAAGAGATTCAATTGCGTTATGCTTCATTTGAAATTTACTATAAGTCTTGCATTCTATCATCTTAAAGGGTTTTGCTTTATCCATGTTGTTGTAGATATACTATAATGGTGGAGTGTACAATGAAGACTACAACGCTGCAAATACACCAGCTCCTCCTGGTAACTTGAAAATGTGATATATTAATTATATTTTTAAGAGTCGTGGCATATCATAGTTTTCTGACAATTGTTGTTTTCTCTTGCCTTATTAGAAGTACCAGTAAGCACCCCTGCTCTCGTTGCTCAAAATGAGGTGGTAAATGACGATGACGATGATGAGCCTCCATTAAATGAAAATGACGATGATGATTTGGATGACTTGGACCAAGGAGATGATCAAAATACACATCATCTAGTTTTGGCACAGTTTGACAAGGTAACAAGCTCCCTCATTACATGTCGACGCAGTTGCAATATAAAAGTATATTTAACAGGTAGGGGTTGTTGGATAACTATTATCGGGCTGATAGAGTTGGCTTATTAAAATTTAGGTGACACGTACTAAGAGCAGGTGGAAATGCACATTAAAGGATGGCATCATGCATATAAATAACAAGGATATTCTCTTCAACAAGGTTTGTTAATCTTGAAGAGAACACTTATATTTTCTCATCCTTTCAGTTCAGTTTATCAAGTTTTCACGATTAATGATGCAATACACTTTTGCAGGCAACTGGAGAGTTTGACTTCTGATTTTGTTGTGGCCAGTGCTCTGCTGAAAGCATAATACTGAGGTGTCTGAGTGTTTCGTGATATTTCTTTGATTGTAGTTAATATTGAGAGAGAGATTCAGAGAGAGAAATCCTTACACTTTCGAGACTGTTTTGATGTTGGCCACTTGTGCATAATGAATGGGCAATTTTTGGCCTTAACATGATGGTTAGTAGATACTGGGCAATTCCTCAAGTCCATTTGTCAAGTATGTGGTTCCCTTAGTTCTGTATACTTGGACATTTTGGTTAAATTAAGAGCTGCACTGTATGATAATGATAGTTTATTTAGCCTTGCCTTGGTTTGAGTTTTCCTATCTCTTTTGATTACCTTTTGACCATGAAATACGAGGAGACAACATTTAGTGTGTCAAACTCTATTGTAGATTCAGATAGAGTGATATTGACATCTTAAGCCTGTGACTAAAATAGAGGAAAATAGAGCTTTTCAGCATTAATGGCCAGCTGATTTTCCTCCTTATTATGAGAAGGACGCGAACATGTGTTTGGCCTCAACATGGGGCTTTTGAATAGGAAGAGAATGCTAGTTTCTGTTTGGCCTTATTGAGACATTAACATGTCTTATAAGTTATAAAGAATGCTAGTTTACGAATGACAGAAAAACCAGTAAACAACTCCATATTCACATTTTCCAAATAACCATTTTTCATATCCAATGAAAAACGGAAGTTTGGAGAGGAATATTTTTTTTAAAAAAATACATTGAACTTATTGGCGAAGTTGAAAGAATGATGTTGAAGTTTAAGAAAGATTAAAGTGATTATAGTGTGGGGCTTATTCTAAGTGCAGTTCTTGACCAACAAATGAAACATGACCCACTTATTGCTAAGCTTAAAGTGGAAAAAGTTAAGAAGAAATTGTGTATCATTTTTGAGAAGTGTTATTTAGTTCCTACTTCATCTATAAAAAATCCATCTTCCATTGCTAGAAAGAATCTATTTTTTCTAAGTGTAAGTAGTTTGTTTGATATGTAATTGCATTCTTTATAATAACCTGTTTTAAATCATCACACTTTGAAAGATATAAGAAATGGGAAGTACACAAACAACAACATCTTCAAGAGAGTGAATTTGTACAGTTCAAAGATCTATCTTTAATGATCCGTGCTATTATTACTGTTACACACTCCCTTGCTATGATTACTGTTACACACTCCTTCCCTCCGTTATAAATTATAATAAAATTTTATTTTTTTATAGGACATTTAATCATTGATGTCAAAAAATGTGGAGGTTTTGATTTGTACTAATATAAAAATATGATTTAGATACTTAGTTTGAATATGCTTTTTACATATTTAATTGGTAATGCTATTACTATTTCAAGCATGTAATATGAACGAGTATTTTGTTTATGTTTTCGTAGTATAATATTGGTGTTTAGTCTTAGGTTTCTTAATTTAGTTCTACAAGTATTAGTTTTTCTTTTGAAGGGTTCTCTACAAATATTAGTTAGTTTTTTAACTAATATTGATTGTTGTTATAATTGATTGTCACGTTACTCTTTGGCATATCAATGTCTAGGTTTAGTTTTAATCGTAACTATACATTAAGTAATTTGTATTTTTTTTTTTTGATAATTTATTAGTATTATACTTTTTGATATGTTAATGGATAAATATTGTTAGATGTTAGTGAATTTTTTTCATTCCTTTTTTTGCATACCCATCTACTCTATTACTTTTTATATTTTTTTAATAATAAATATTCAACATTACTCTAAGAACATTATTAGATTTTAGTTTTTCTCAAATAATAAAGTGAAGTATTAAAAAAAAAGAAAGAGAACGGTGCAGAAATCAACAATGGTGTGAAGGATTTCAATGTAGAGGAGTATCACGAAACCTTAACGGAACCGCTGAAGGATGCGATAAAGGATCACAATCAATGAGTTGACGTTCTGAGAGATAATCGGAATCCTCTGGAAAAAAGATCGATGAAGTATGTTGCGCCAAAGCTGGTGAAAGGCGAAGTGGAAATTGAAATCGAGGAAGACATCGAATCAGAAATTCAATTTTGGGAAAACACGTTGATTATGTATGTACCGGGAGATGATATTATGAACACAATGAAGAATTACATGATGAAGAATTGGAACTACGTGAAGCTGTCGGATATGTACTACCATGATGAAGGATACTTCCTTCTCTGATTCAACTCACACGAAGATAGGGAAGCAATTATGATGAAAGGACCTTACACCATTAGGAATAAGCCGCTGATTTTGAAGGATTGACAACCAGATTTCAACCTGAAGAAGGATCTGCTTCGAACCCAACCAATATGGATAAAGCTTCCTCAACTTTTCCTCCATCTGTGGGGGTGAACAAAGCTTGAACAAGATTGGGAGTGCTTAAGGTAATCCTATGGTCACTGACCAATGTACGGTAAATAAGCTCAGAGTCTCATATGTCTATATCCTGGTGGAAGTGGACATCACACAACAACTGATCAAGGAGGTTACTATCAAAGATGAAGAAGGAATAAAGATCAAATAAGTTGTTGATATGAATGGCAACCTGCTTTCTGTGAGAAATGCCAGAAAGTAGGGCATAATTGTGGAGCTGCAACACAAGTTCAGAAGTGGAGACCAAAAAAGAAGTCACATGAGGAAATAAGAATGCCTTTACCACCTGAGACACCAAAGGAGACAACCAATATTGATGAAGCTGATTAGCCATTGATAAAGGTTGGAAAAGCTACAAAAGATAAAGGTAAAACTGTTGTTTATTTCGGTTCTGCATCTGGTGCTAATAAAGTTTATGGAACATCATTTGGAATTAACTGTATGAATGGGTTCAAGGCACTTGAGGTTTTGAATGACTCTCTTGTGGCCATAGGAAAAGGAGCATGATAGTATCCTGGAACATAAGGGGGTTGAATAAAATGGGGAAGCTCAAGGAGATTAGCTCCTGTCCCCTGGAGCTTAGGCCTGCAATTGTTATTTTGATTAAAACAAGAGTAAAGAAGAATAAAGCAAATAAAGTTATAGATAAACTTCTCCTTACTAATAACTACACGAATAACTACCTTTACCATGAAAATGGGAGGATTTCGATTGAATGGGATGATTCTAAAGTTGATTTAGGCATATCCATAGTACAAGCCAATTCATCCACTGTGGTGTTTATGATGTCGATGGTGGATTTGAACATTGGCTCACTGCAGTTTATGCTCATAATTAGCTAGACAAAAGAAGGACTCTTTGGAAGGACATTGAGAACATTCATGGGACTAAAAAAGGCCCTTAGTATGTGATAAGTGATTTCAATAATGTAGCTAAAGCCCAAGATCTCATTGGGGGGAACATGGTGACTGAAAGTGAGTATGAGGATCTGCATAATGTATTGACTAATACTGGTTTGAGTGATATGAGGATATGTTGGTGGGTAATTTGGAGTGGTTCCAAGCTAAAATGGATAGTATATATATATATATATATATATATATATATATATATATATATATATATATATATATATATATATATATATATATATATATATATATATATATATATATATATATATATATATATATATATATATATATATATATATATATATATATATATATATATATATATATATATATATATATATATATTCCAGAATTGATATGTTGGTGGGTAATTTGGAGTGGTTCCAAGCTAACATGGACAGTGTCTTGAACATTCTCCCTCTTAACATATCTGACCATGCCCTGTTACATGTTACTAACAACTGTAAAGTGAGAAAATCGAAAAAATATTTCAAGTTCAGTAATTGCCTAGTGGATCTTGAAGGTTATGAGGAAGTGGTCAAGGCTAGCTGGGAGATACCTGCCAGAGGCAGACATATGCAAGTGTTGTGGAAAACTGTCTCAGGGAGTTCAACAAAAGAGGTTAAGGAAAACATTTTGAAAGCTAGGGAAGATCTCAGAAGAGCTCAACTTGAGCTTATGAATAATAAAATGGATCGGCATAATATTGAAAGGGTTAATAAGTGCACTGAAGATGTTATCATGTACAATGATATTGAGGAGAAAATGCTAATGCAAAGGGCAAAAATTGAGTGGTTAAGAAAAGGGGATGGGAATAACTCCTATTTCTATGCCTCAATTAAAACCAGGCAGAACAATAACAACATGAAGGGTATTCAAAATCCTGATGGCGCTCCTCTAAATTCTCAGCAGGAAGTTGAAAAGGAAGTCATGGACTTCTATAGTCAACTGATGGGAAAAGAAGACTGTTCTTGTTGAACTCCAAAGACGATTTCCCTATGAATCCAAGGGCTTCAGAGAAGGTCTCTAATGAATGGAATTACTTTGTATATTATGTTATGTTAAGGGATTTAGAGGCTTACACAAGTATGCGTGAGCTCTAAGCAATGCGTCTTGTTTACTCCTCAGTCGTGAGTCCTATTTATATAGAGGTGAATGGACCTCATTGATCACTGTTTATAATCGTTGTGACTCTTCATTGATCGTAACTGGGCTACCATCAAAGCTAGAAACCTCCGGCGTCACTAATAATGATAATTGTTATAACATGCGCCGTCATATATTGATGAGCGATTTCTCTCTTAAATAACTGGCCACTGCGTAACGGTCTCATCAATGCCGGGTTGTTTATAACGTCTAGGCCCAATGTCAGTATCTGATGTATGAGTTCATCCAATTCCTCTTCATCTTCTCATATGACCGACCATAACCTCCCCTGACTTCACTACTCGGCTCAGTCATGAAGCTCTTTGATCCGATGTCCTACTCGGTCCAACATGCAATGCCCAATTCGTCTTCCTTTGTCTGGTCCTTCTTATCCTTCATAACCCGGCCAATGGATATATGTATGAACATAAGCTCCACAAACATATGGCTTCTTCTGAAGTCTTTGTGTTCGGTAAACGTGAACGTTGATCCTTTGGTCCCAGATTAAATTCCTATCATAAGTTGATGATCGACTATCTTTTATCCTAGGTCAGGT